CTGACAAGGTAAGTAGAGTAGGCTGAGTTTCTCTTAATCATCATACACACTATGGGGAGGGGAAGATATGCCATTTAATTAAGCTAATCTCCTAAGACTATTCTGTATGCAACCACAACGTTAAATCGAGCCTCAGCTCTTGGCCTGGGCCTAGAGTGCCAGGGTCAAAGCCACCTCCTCTCTACAGTCACACCAGACCTCTGGCTCATCTACGGCCACTGCTTGGATCACTGCACCCCCCAGCTCCCTGGGAAGGCTGCCACCCCCAAACTGCACGCTCAGCTATCCTGTGGAACTTCTGGGCACACGCCAGGCAAAGAAGGCTCCCTCCTGGCTGCCCCCAGCCCCGACGCTGACCTTGGCACCCACGTGGTGCAGAGTGTTGTGCTTGATGAACGACTTTATGACGCTGGTGCGGCCGGCTGAGGTGGGCGTCATGAGCATCTGGTTCTTCTGCACCGTGCGCAGGAAGGTCCGCGGGGGCCACACCGCCTGCTGAGAGAGATGGAGATGAGAACGAAGATGTGGGCATGAGGACGGCGCGGCAGCCGCTGAACCCAGGAGAGCGTGCGTGCCTCACCTGTCTTATCTTGTTGGGAGGGCAGACAGAGGAGGGAGTCTTGGTTCCAGGAGGAGTGCGCGCCTCATCGTCCATGTGGTCCCCGATCTCATCCAGCTCTCTGACAGCCTGCTTGCAGCTCCTCTTCCACCTGTGAGGGGCAGAAGCAGCAGTGCCCATGGGGGCCTGGGCAGGGACAAAAACGGTCCCCCCCCCATGGCCCCTGCTCCTCAGCTCAGACTGGGGCCCAAGCAGGCAGGCCCTGCCAGGTGGGATCTCAGGCTTTCCCCTCCCACTGCTTTCTACGCTTGGGACACCTCTTCAGTCACTCCTAGAGGGCTCTGTGCTAGGTGTGGGGGAGGGACAAAGTCAAATAGTCTCTGCATGCCCTCATGTAGCTTACAATCTACCAGGGAGAGAAAATGCCAACAGAGAAGATGATAAATAACACCCACTACTACATAATCATAAATTTTCAATTAAATTGAATATAATTTTTATAAGCACCTCCTCTATAAAAAAGCCTTGCACTAGGTTCTGAGGCTCCAGAGGCAAAGGTGAAACAGGCCCTGCCCTCAAGACGCTCACATTCTACTGGGGAATAGAACATGTATGTAGGTCAATAAATACAAGCTCATCTGAGGAGGGAAGGAAGATACCTCCCTCTCCACTGGAGACTACGCCTATCAAGGCCTCAAGTGTGGGCTTACTCAATGTCCCACATCATGCCATCACCAGCTCAGCATCATGAAGGTAGAGCCAGAATGGCCCTGAGAGGCCATCTAATCCAACCATTTTACAGGCCCAGAGAAGTACTTTGCCCAAAGTCACACCGGTAGGTTTATGATCTTATCATCCAGAAATTTTAGGGGACTGCCCCCTCCTGTCCTTTTACCTGCCCCACTAAACAGACAACAGACTCTTAAGTGGAGATTCTGAGAATGAAATTATTTTGCACATGAAAGGCAAACTGTATGGCAAGAGAAACCTACTTATGTCAGGATGGGTTGGGCAAGGCCGAAAGGTCACGGCTCTCTGGAACGCCTCCTGGCCCCGAAGCTCAAAGGCTGCCTTTCCCAGCAGGGCCTAGCTCACCTTGATGTATGTAGTCTGGGTGTTTTTAGAGGTGCCTGAGTCTAAGCACCCCAAGGGCAGGCCCCCAGTCTAGCACCTGGCACAGAGGAGGCACCGAGGCAACACCTGCTGATTGACTTTGGAATTCACCATGCTCTTGGGTCCCTTGGCTCCATCTGGATACCAGTGTGGGTTGCCCAGCTTGCTGGCTTCTCCCCAGTTCCTACCCCAGTATCCTTCCCACCCCCGCCCCAGCTTGCGCTCATGGGCCCCCACAGATCATCCTACCCAACTTTCTCAGGCAGCACCCAGGGCTCTTCACTTTGGTCCATCTCGCTCTCTGTGGAGGGAACAGAACAAGGGAAACTTCCCTTACACAAAGCCTTTTACACCTGCTACCTTGTGAGATCCTCCTACAGATTTAGGGCACAAAGGGAGCTAACTCAGAGTAGTAGAATTGGCCCGAAGAGATGACCTGCCCAAGGTCACACTGACTCCCAGGGCACCAGGCTGCCAAGCGACGCTCCCCCTCTGCCCCCACCTCTGACCTGTTCCCCAGCTGGCAGGTGAGTAGGAGCGGGGAGCTCAGTCTTGGCTCCAAAGAGCCCACTAACAAGCCAAGTCACCATCTGGAGCCAAGGTTAGAGCCAAACCTCACATTCAATGAAACGGCAACCTGGGCTAACCATTGGGCTGCTCTGTCTGTGGCTGCTGGGTTCAGAGGGGCCATTCTCCATTTCCTCCCAAACAGAACTCCCTTGAACAGCACCACCCTGTCCCCAACTCCCCTGCCCCCCAGCAGCCCCCAAGTGGCCTCCTCCTCCTCAGTCCCACCCCACTCCTTCCTTGGCCCAGGAATCTTTTTCTTATCTGCCTTCCGATGCTACAGCTAGAACCTGTAGCCCACACTTTGCAGGTCATGCCAGGGCTGGCTGTCCCCATGATCCCCAGAGCCTGGCAGCCAGTCTGGACTAGCCTGCTGGCCTCTCTCCACAATAGCCCCTGTGTAGGGTGACTGCCCTGCCTGGCTTCAGGCTGGCATCACCATCCTCCTCTTCCTCTTTCCTTCTCCTCCACAACTTTCTCCCTGAGGTTCAACTCCTCACTCTCCTGACATTACAACTGTCTTAATTAGAGAAAAAACCCCAAGCTTTTCCTGAGACACGACTGGTGATTCTCTGCTGATGTAATAGGTCAGCTAGTCCCCTGGCCTGCTCCCTGGAGCAATTAATTCCACATGGCCAAGTCTGCCTGGGCTAGCCCCTACAGAGACCAACCAGGGTCACAGAATTCAGGACAGCCTTCAGGAGAGCATTCGTTTTGACAAGCCTTTAGAAATGAGGAAACTGAGGACCAGAGGCAAATGCTTCTTCAGCTACATCTTAACTTCCTTCCAGCAAACAAAAAGTGGGATCAAGTTCTAGTAGGGAGATGTCTCAAGTCTAGATTTCACCAGCACGGACAGCTACCAACTCCCAGAGTTCCTGCTTCCTTCTTATAGCCCATCACCCAGAGAAAGCCTTACCACTGTCACCATCTGCTTGGCTTCCAGACTCTGGCTGGGCCCTTGGGCTACTCATGGCAATCTTGTTGGTGTTCTGAGAGCGCGGCATTCTCCTGGTGCCCTCAGGTGCCTGCAGGCAAAGGCACAGCATTGGCTTTCGTTCCGGCCCAGGCCCTGATCCTCCCACCTCCCCTGCCCATGAGACATTATGGTTAACAAACTTATTTAGCCTACCATCCCTTTTTCAGTACTCCCCTGGAAATCTAATTTCTTTAACTCTTTTTTTTTTAAATTTGCATCATTTCAAACTACTACCCTTCCCCTGGATCATTCCAGCACCCCCCCCCGGGAGGTGGTACTGCCCACTTTGGGAACCTATGGCTTAGATGAACAAAGGCCCTGATCTGGAGCACTGCAAGGCAGGAAAATATTGGTTCATGAACGACTTTGGAGGTAGAGGCTGCCTTGAGTGGCTACGACAGAGTTCAAGAGCATGTGGCCAGAGGCCCTTCCGCCACCTGCCCTCCCAACTGGGGCCTAGGCCCCTCTCCCCAGAGCCCTGCCTACCTCCTGCTCGGTTTCTCTTGCACACTCCACCTCCTCTTCAGAGCTGAAAGGAAACTGAGAAAGTTTGAAGAACAGCCCAGCCCCTAAACACTAGGAGGAGTGAACTCTGGGGAGGGCCACATCTCCTCATCACCAGGAAGCTCCATTCTCTCCACCCAGGCAGACCAGCCCAGCTCATCACCTGTCAAGGGATTCGTTTGAGAATGGTGCTCTGTCACGTTAGGGTTCCTCCCTGTGGGGAGTTGAGGGTCACAGTCTGTTGCGTGAAAGCAAGGAAGTCTTAACTGACCTCTCCTTTGTGGACACGCAGCAATCATGACTGGCTCGGCTCTCCTCTGACTGGCTGAGTGCCTCCCTGCATGCCCTGGACACACCCCAGACCTGAGGCTTTCATGCGGAGTGGGATAGCTAGGACTGGCTGTAGGGCCCTGATCACACGATCCCAAGGTGCCTTGAGGGCTATAAAGGTCACACCCAGCTCACAATAAAGAGGAGCTTCTGCCATCTTGCTGTCTCACGCCTCATCCACGCGTCTCCGGGTTACTGAGCATTGAGCTGGTCTCATGCTCACCACTGCAGCGGCCGCGACAACTGGCGCCCAACATGGGGCAGATCAATGACAGGCCTGACAGATACCCC